CTAGCTGTACATTGCGAATTAAAAGATTAAACGTTTGTTGCAGATTCTCTAAAAGAGCGTTCTAATTGTAGACATACTTTTAGTAAATTGAATACGTAATAATAGTTCAGTAGCAGATATTGGTAACTGTGTTTATATAACTATCAAAGCTGCAAAGAGACTTTTGAATTCCAGTCATATACTTTTCACGTAAATGAATGCAGCAATAACCTACTGATTTCTTAGAATATTTTTATGACTGTTTGTGCACTTTTTTCTAAGTTTCAAAACTAAAGCGCTTGAAGTGTCTTTCTCATTTTCTCTTCACTGCGGAGTCATTAATATCATAATTACGTAAGACTGTAAAAGTTTTTTGTAAATCTAGCTTTAGAAGCTTGAGAGACACAAAATTTAAAATATAGTTAAAGCAACAGACCACTTATATGAAACTACTGTCAGTTTCATTTAATAGACCCACTGAAATACACATCGAAATAAAAGTTTTTGTAAGAAATTAGAAATTTTTTTTATAACTACAGTTTGCCCTCGTTTACGTTTTAATTCTACATAGACGATGTGTGGAAATTCTTATTAATTTTTAGTTTGTAAGATGTAAGTTAATTTAGGCATAAGATCTATAAGTAGCTGGGAAGCTGTGCGAAAGTTTGAAAAATTTTTGTAAGCTTACAAATTGTATTTCAGCCAAAAATTTCATTTTTTAAGTTTCTTCTTAACTCAAAAAACAAAAAGCTAATTATAATGGTAAATAAATTGATAAAAAAGTTTCAAGGTTCTAGCAGAGAAAAAACTTTAAAAAATGCTTTAACATTCACCTGATACTGACTTGAGAAACTAAACTTGCTTTGGGTGCTGTAACATTGAAACATTGAAATTATTAAGTCTTAATGCGCTTGGTTGGTAACCTAAAAGCTCTGGTGACTTAAAAATTACCACAATTTTTTTAAGGTGACTCCATTACACACTTCATGTGCTAAAGACAATGTCGAGATTTCCAAATTTCTTATCAAGAAAGGAGCTGATACGAAAGTGACGGACAAAGATGGAGTAACTTTTTTTATTGCCATTATTCGTTGGTACATTCGAGGAGCTATCAGTGATCTTAGTATAGTACATTAGGAAGTAAAATCAAGCAATGTCGCTGTGGTTAACGTTATCACTCTATAAACTAAATTTTTCTGGTAGTCTATTATCTCTTTTTGGATGCGATATTCTCAGACTGCCTTTGTTTGTCTGCAGAAACCTCAAGTTTTTATGTCTGGTTCCTTCCAAGTCTTCAAAAAGCCAGTGTTAACCTTTTAGTAGTCTTAAAATTCTTCAACTCTTATGATACATATTGTAATCAGTGATAATCTTTTGAGCAAACCTCTAAAAACCTGGAAGGTATATGTCTTTATACAATTTTTCACTACAGTTTTACTACCTTTTGAGCATTTTTTGCCTAGCCTCAACGTAGATTCTTGAGCACAGCTTTTCATAACATTTCTTCCAAAATAGGTATGAAATGCACTTTTCAGGGTTTTTTCATTTTTTAAATCTAAAAACACAAACTATCAATCAGCAAAATTGAAAAAAAATTTTGAGATAGCAACTAAAAAAAGTCACGCGTTGACATAGTTTGCCTAAGCATTTTACATAAAAATTCATAAGCCTTTCCAGCTTTCCTAAAAGATTTTCTTTTTCTGTGCAAGTCCACAATTTGCAAATCAAAAAGAGCCTGAAAAATGCATTTTTTAAATTGATTTATTTATCGTCAAAATTTAAAAATTTTTTTAGATATTTGCCTTACGTCTAGTTTTGTAATCCCGCGGTTTAGCTTAATCTTAATAAAGTTTAAAAGTATCAACTTTCTTGCTTATCTGCTTTAATTTCAAGAGAAAAAACCAATTAGTGTTATAAAAAAAAATAAAGAAATAAAAGCAAAAATTTTGGAATAAAGTGTTCTAAAATTTTTGTGAAGAACATGGTTTTGAGAGGAATGTTGTGACTTATAAAATGTTAAAGTTTGGTGAAGTACTTTCAATCATCATATTCAGTACAACTTTAGGAAACGCCACTGCACTACGCATGCAGAAATGGTCACGTAAAAACAATAGAACTTCTTCAGCAATCTCGGGCTGTCATCAGTACCAAAGACCACAAACATGTAATATTGGTGATCTGTGTTGTAAAATATGTGAAGTATACATTGAACGTATTAAACATATTGTATCATACATATTTTGTACTAAATTACATCATTCTAGGAAACACCACTACACCATGCATGTCGTTCTGGAAAAGTTGAAGCTGTTAAGCTTCTAATTAAATATGGAGCCGTCGTGTGCCCAAAAGAAAACTTCGAGGTATTGAACGTTCTTTTATTAATGGTCATCTTTGATCATTGGGTGCAATAAATAAACCATTCCATGCCAAGTGCCACACTTTTCTTTCTTCATATCTTAGGTTTATTGAAATCTTGCTGATTAGCAAAATCTCGGTTAGTATACGAAACGCCGAAAAAACCTGAAATACTGAATTTCTCGTTAGGTTACACTCTTTTAAGTTTCAAAATTTACCAGGTTACTGCTTGTTATACCTATCTTTGCAGACTTGTAATACAGCCTGTTGCTAATAGAATTTCACAGTTTTTAATTTTTTGAAATTCTCGTTTCTGATTTTTTAAATGCATATTAAATATGTCAATTTTGATAAAAGGTTACACAGAAATAAGCAAAAAAATATTTCAAACAAACACAAAAAAAACGTACTTTGCGGGAAATTTTTTGCCTCACAAAATACCAAATTTTGGTGATAGCGACTTTGTGGTGTCAAGTCAAAAGTTGCAAGTCAGAAAAAAAATGTGAAACTGAAAAGGTTTATTGCTTTTACAATAATTTCATGTGTTTTACATAAAAAAATCATTCCTTCTAAAAGCAGCAGACGACTGCCACAAAATTCGGAATGTTTGAATGTTTCAAACGTTGAAAATTTGTTTCAAAAGTTGCATTTTACCTTGAAATATTAACAAATCATTATTCTGCTTGTATGAACTGGTCTTTGCTCTAGTGCCTTCTACTTCATTTATTTTGCTAAAATTATACACTAGTGTACATTTTGAATTCACGAAGAAGTCTAAAATCTCACTGCTTTACCTGATAAATTGTGGGTTAAGGTTGGTTTTAGACTTTCTATTTTTCTAGAAATCTATAGCACATAATTCCGGAAAAGAACGGTAAGTTGACGTCATGGTCGCTTGTGAGACCAAAACGTTAACGTTCATACCATGAGCATGGTCTGAAAAGCCCAGAAACTACGAATTTAGAAAGCAGAAAGTAATAGTTTGTTAATATTTAAAAAGTAAAGTGCAACTTTTTAAGCAACTTTTTGATTTTTAAAGCATACCGATTCTTTAGATGAGCTGTCTACAAGCTTTCAGAAGCGACTCAGGAGGGTATCGTTATGCAAAATACATGAAATTACGGTCAAGACAGTAGTTTTTTTAATTTTCATATTTCTTTTTAAGTCGTACATCTTGATGCTGAGAAATCGCCATTGTCAAAATTTTATATGCTGTAGAGTAAGCAATTCTACGCAAAATGTCTCTTTTTAAAAAGTTTATAGATACGGATTTTCCTATGTTTGTTTGATTCCAAAACATGAGAAATTTGATGAATAAAAAACTGCTAATTTTTATGGAACCAGGTTGAGTTACAAGTTTACAAAGGTTGACGTGTCATGCGACAGACATATTTTGAGACTTTGAGAAGGTAGTATTGTGGCAAAGAATTCACTTTTTCAGGTTTTTTTTTTGACTTTTTGTACATTAACTCAGATTTTACTGATCAGCAAAATTTTAAAAAATTCTAAGATATGAAGAAAGAAAATGTACCATTTGGCATAGAATGACTCAGTTTAAATCTTTTTTATTTTAGAAAACCCCACTACACATTGCATGTGCTCAAGGAAATGCTGAAGTTGTTAAAATTCTTTTGGACAACAGTGCAAATAGTAATGCTGAAGACGAAAACCGGGTACCAAAAAATAAATTGCTTAAACTCATCAAATTACCGCGCAGAACAAATTTATTTTATATATTCAAATTGCAAAAAGTGCTTTAACTGAATAATAGTTAATTTTTAATATGATTTTGCTAGAACCAAACCTTGACACACATGTCTTCTTTTTGCTGTTTAAATAAATGTTCGGACTTAGAAAAAGAAATTCAGCTATACTAAAGCACAGAAAAATAAACAACAAAAAAGTAAGATAAACAGAGGAAACAAGACAAAAGCAGTAGAAGAGGTTTTTCGTTCTGAATAATTTTTACATGTTTATTTAGTTTTTTACCTCTAAAAAACCACATTAAAAGGTTTAACATCTTTTAAAAGTGTTACTAATGTGTCTATTTTTACTAATCTTAGGAAACCGCACTGCATTATTCATGTCGTTATAATCACTGTAACATTGTTAATCTTCTGATTACACACGGAGCTGCACTTGATGTTCAAGACAAAAATAAGGTAGTATTTGTTTATTTAATAGTAAAAAAATAGTGAAAAAAAAACAAAGTTGTTTTTTTCAATTTTTACAAAGCTTTGGCAACAAAGATTTGCATAAATAATTAACAGTAATTACAGTTGACGTAGAAAACATTAGTGTCAATTTAGGTCATCCTGGTTTTAGTCAACGCTTGATTTCCTAATTTCACTCTAACTTTTTCAAATATTGCTGAAAAATTTTGTTTATATTAAAAACAATACTGACTAAACATATCGCTATAATGATTACAGGAAACTCCACTACACTATGCAGCTAATTTCGATCGCACTAGAATTGCTGAACTACTGCTGCAGAAAGGAGCACATGTAGATTCAATAAATGCAGAAGGAGTAACTAATAACATTATAAAATCTATAAATTGTAACTATAACAGAAAAAAAATAAGTGTAATCTATTTCTTTCTTCTTGGCTTTGCAACAGTAAAAGAAGATAACATAAAGAAGCGCTGATATTTTACTGCACTTTGAACAATAAGAGTCGCTGTAATCTAATAGTGGTTTTAGCTGTCAAATAATCAAAGAAAGCATAATTTTTATACTAAATTTAGAACACTCCACTACACTGTGCTTGCTGTCGCGGACACATAAATACAGTGAAAATTCTTGTAAATCATAAGGCGGATATAAACGCCTGGAATTACCATAAGGTAACAATCAAAAAAGTGTTCTTGTAACGCTGCAGACATTTCACTTACTTTTTAACGTCAGCACCAGAAATTTCAGTAATGAGTATTTGCAGTGCTCAGCTGCAAAAGTTTCATTGTCAATAACACTAATTTATCCTAGACCTACAACAACTGTTAAACAAAACTGGAATTTGATTTATTTGAACAATTATGATCTAATGAGCGGTAACGAGAATTTAAGTTTCAGAAAAGCGTGTTGGATGTAGCACGTTCTTCCGGTAATACTGAAATTTTTAACTTTTTGCAAAAACAGGGTGCTACCCGTGGTGGTTCTGACTTCGACCAGGTCAATTATTACTTACGTTTCTTTATTATACAGTGTATTCAGGTCACACTTTGTCGCTAATAAATTTGTTAAATCGTTGTTTACAAGCATTATAGCGATTTCAGCTTTATGTGTCAGAAATTGGTCAAATTTCCAACGCCAGTTACAGTTCAGGACATAAGAAAACTGTAGAGTCAGATCAAACAGAAACAACTTGTCCGACAACCAGTAAAGAATCAGTGATATGTTTCAAAATTAAAACAAAAGATATGAAGTGCGTAGGACTTGGAATTAAAAAAGTGAGAAGTGAGAAGTAGGATTAAAAGAGAGTAGATTTTTAAAATATAAGTTTGAAAAAGTAAAGGTCTAGAGATGGAAATTAAAGAAAACTAGCATTTTGCAACTGAAATAAAAAAAAAGTTGTTTCAAAAGTTGTCTCGAACTGAGAATTGAAAAAAAGAGGCATTCTAAATTGAAGGTAGAAGAAATTAAATGTTTAAAACTGGAAATAAATAAAAATTAGCTTTTAAAACTAGAAGTAAAAATAAATAATTTTTTGAGCTAAGCTTGAAAAAATAAGTGAAAAAAGCTTAAAGATTAAAGTAAAAGAAGCTACTCAAATTTTATTTCAGTAGTATAACGACAACTAATTAAAAACTATTTTTCAGAACTAATTACAGGTTTCTCCTTCTCTCTTTTAACTTTTTTCGCAACTGATTGATTGTTTTAGATACTGAAGTTGAAAGAGCAATTTTTAATTTGTTCTCATATGTACTGTAAATGTAAAAGTTTTCGAAACTGCTCTTTTGATATAAAATTATTTCTTTTTAAAACCACCTTAACTTCCTTCATCCCAGTGGTTGTAAATATCGCTATGTTGAAAAGCAAGTCATTAATAATGTTTTGGTAAGAGGAGCGATGGGAGAAAAACCAGACACGCAGGGCATCTCAATTAGCGGCAACCTCAACGAAAAAACGTTAAAAACAATTGCGGATAGCTTGTGGGGACGTCTCTGGTCTGAAACAAACATGTTTGGAAACCTACGCGCTACTGCTCACGGTCTTGTGGTTATTTGCCGCTTTATTAAGTGGGCGATAGACACTGCGATCTACGGTAATATCATTTACGAGCTATATGGCTTCAGTACTGCGCTTCTAAGAGAAATTCTAGAAAGCGTCACTTTGTATTTGATTCACAAGAGGAGAGGACAGCCCAAACAAGATTGAAACGCTAAACCAGCAAGGGAGGAAAAGAGAAATAATAATCTTAATAATAATGTGTATGGGTGTATTTACAGAGCTGGTCCTCAACAGCAGCAACAACAACAACCAACACGTGCTCAAAGCTTTCCGCTACGCTCAATTCAAGATTATTTTGGTCAAACGATTTATTGTCGACGAACTCCGGTCTCCGGAGTGTCGCGTGAAGCGATCGAAGGGCGCCAATCGAGACTCGGCGAAAACATTTAGTAAACAGCGATTGGCACGTATCTTCCGTCGGCACGTAGACTTTGACCACACAATTTACACTAGGAAACGATTTAGACGGGAGATAGGAAAGCGGAAGGTAGTATATAAGCTCGGTGGTTTCAAGCTTCAGGGGATTTAAGTGCCAATCAATCGATCTTCGCTAGTGTGTATTCGATCGTGTACGATTGTGATACCCATTCGTCTTGTGCTATTGTTACGGCTATGCAAATTTCCGTATACATCTTGCACAGCGTCTCTTATTGAAAAATTTTAGCGAATTTTTGCAGCTAATTCACTGATCAACAGTATAACGAATTCAAAATGAAGAGTTAATAAAAGTTCTAGTTAGAAATGGTAATTTTTATTAATTTTTCAAATATCCTTGAAAATATGCCCTGTATGGTGTTACGTGGCGCAGGGCAAATACCTTCTAACCCTCTTCGACTGAATAAGCAACTGTCTGGTTACCTGCTTTGTCAGTATCTTGAGAAGTAATAAATCTTGAGAAGTAATCAGTTGATGAGGCATCCACTGATGCAAATGCAGTATCGACAACGCAATGTGTAGACAAATATCCTGACATCGTAACTGACATAAACTACTTCTTCGGGTTTTGCTTCAACGTAGAAAGGTTGTGAAATGGACTCCTTTTGATCCAAACTTAAGTGGGCCCATTGCTGGCCGGGCCGGTACCACAATCGATTCGAATCCTCTCCATCTATGAACATGAGTGCCAATGTCAATCGGTTCTGGGATTTTGACACTATCGGCATCACAGATACTACGTCAGAAAGTGACAATGACGCGGTATATCGACATTTCGAGAAAACCCTCACTTAGGATATCTCAGGACGATATGTACTCTCTTGGCTCTGGCGAAATACGCATAAGCAGCTCTCCAATAACAATGCCATGTCTGTGGCAAAGCTAAAGAGTTTGCTGAATCGACAGCAGTCGTGTCAAGGCTTGCTGCAACAGTACGACGGCATCCTACAAGAACAATTTGAGAACGGAATCATCGAGCTTGCACCTTCTTAATCAGCCTCCAAAGTCTACTTCCTCCCCCATCAGGCGGTGATTACATCATCAAACCAGACTACCAAACTCCGCATTGTCTTCGACGCTAGCGTCAAAACTAATAAAGGGTGTACCATTAACAAGGCTTTATATCGTGGACCAGTTCTATTCCCGCAACTCTGTGCCGTTCTACTTGGATTCCAGACCTACAACAATATCTTACTCGCTGATGTAGAGAAGGCTTCCCTCAAAGTCGGACTGCACCCAATCCACCGCGATGTAACACGTTTCTTTTGGGTCCAAAACCTGAATAAGCCACCGACACCCAAAAATATTATCCTGTACAGGTTTCCTCGTGTTCCGTTCGGAGTGGTTAAGAGCCCCTTCTCACTCGGAGCAGTTATTCGACACCATTTCCAAGACCAGCACTCCTGGTCAGCTCATTCTATTTTACAAAAATTTACGTCAACAACGTCCTCATTGGAACCGAGAACACTGTGTCGGTGGAACGATTGTACGCAGAGGCAACAACTATTTATATCCTTCCATTAATTTTGTTTTTAGCTATTTCTATTTCGGCTGTTTCGGCTATTTGTATCCTCTTTCAGCTGTTTTTACTGTTTCCAATTTTTTTACTGCGTAAACAACGACACATTCTATTTTAGCACATCCTACGGCACCGTTTATCGATTTTTTGCCTTTTTAAGTTGTTTCATCATCGCAACTACTGTAGCGGTGGTGGCCGGCGGCTATTAGCACGTCGCTACCGACCCACGCAGTCGCTGTTCCGGACTGGGTGTAATTTTTGTTATATATTTGGTTTCATTTTTGGTTTTTTTATAATTATTTTTGTTTGTAATCTAACTTTGGATTTTTACTGCTGTGAATTTTTATAGTTTCAGTTTTTTCGTTCTTTGTCTTCGTTTTTCTGAACTTTTCAATTTTCCCGTTTTCCGTTTTTTTTTTGCCTTTCTCGATTCCCGCTTCTTTGCTTTTTTTGTGTTTTTTTTTCTGGTTTCAGTTTTTTATTTCTTCAGTTTTTTTTTGAGGTTTTTTAGATTTTTACGTTTTTCTTTTTTTTACGTATTTTGTTTTTTGTCTTTATGTATTCTGGTTTCTATAATTTTTACCTTTTTTTTGATTTTTTCCTTTTCCGCATGTTTTTCCTTTCTCGTGTTTTTTTCTTCGTATACTCAATGCTTCATCTTAACGTTGCAGGCTGTTCCTAATTTCTCGTCCTTATGCCTCTCGTGCTGGAACTAATGCTGCTGCTGTTCCGGCCTCCATCAGAGGATACGCAGGCAAGGTAAGTTAAATTTCTGCGTTGAATTTTACTAAGACTGTTAAATTTTTCTTTTTACTGCTATTCATTTATTTTGATTTGTCTTTGCACTGCATCTGCTGTT